TCTACTAATTGTTTTTATTGGGTAATGTCAGTTTGCTGGGGCAGCCATCTTAATTTGACTCCAAAACTTGGTCAGTTTTTGAGATGTACATCACTCAGAAAACATTTGGATGTTACATCTGCAGCTGACTAACCTTTGGACAGATTTTAATGAAAAGTGTCATTAAAATCTGTCCAAAGGTTCACAAGATATTTTGCTAACGTTTAAGTAAAGATGTCAGTGATTACTTTGTGAAGTTCAAAGAGATCTAGCCAATAGTTCATAGTAACAGACACGAGCAGAAACATTATCACCCCACTTTCAGTGACGTGTTATAAAACGCAAAGACCAAACTGGGGAGGAAAACTGGCAGAGGTAGAAAAACAAAGGGGTCCCCAACAGTAGGTACTGAGTAATATCTGGATGAAGGTGAGTGTGGGTGACTAATGCATGCTCACACACTGGATCTCTCCATTTAAACCAGCCAGTCTAGACTCTTGAGCATCTCAGCTGCAGAACAAACTGCTGCTCAGGCGGGATGATGCACACCACGCAGCCATGACCAGGTTCCATATAGCATTTCATAATCATGGAGGGCTGCACAATAATCCCATCAGGACCCCCCCCCCCCCCCCACACACACACACACACACACGCGCGCGCGCACACACACAGCTGAGCTGAGACTCCATTTTTGACGTAATGTTACAAACGAGCAGTAATGTTGTTCATTCCTGATCGCAAACGTCGTCCCTTGCTGTTTAAGTAGCTAACATGTAGATTAGCAAATGCTGTTCACTGCCGTCGTAAAGAGCGTCTTTAAAATCTGTCGTTAGCTAATCTGTGGACAGCAGCGCGACATTGTTCGCTTTGTTAGAGCTGCCAAGGAAACAAAGAAGCGTAGACATTAATTAGTCACGCTCCCGTTTTATTTTGACTACTGACCATGAAGCTAATACCTAAACTAAGATGCTAAAGCCCCCCCAATGAGATGCACTAATCGGTTATGAGGTTCACACAGAATATTACAAACATGACGTTCAACATTAAATGGAATGGTACCTTTCCTGCGTCGACCCTGGTGACTACAGGACCATTTCCAGGACCCAGTTCTTTGTTTATATGCTTCAGCAGCTTGTTTTCATCAATACGCCTCGTCTCCTTCCACCAGGAGTCGTGTCGCTCCGGTCTCGTGCATCACCGCCGCTCCGGTCAAGGTCCCGCCCATAGCAACCAATCAGATGCCGAGGAGCTGGAAACTGAGGCAAATCACGATTCCTATTGGCTGACGGCTTCGTCCATCAACGTGTCACTAGGGGCGCTGCTGGGTCCAAGGGCAGGACACCTGCCAGGGCAGGATGCTGAGCCGCAGGTGCAGCCGAATCCAGTGATAAAGGTGCCGGGACTATTTCTTTTTACACATTTATTAATAAACAAGAGTATGTTAGGTGTAGATCCCCTGAAACACAAAATGACTGCAAAAGGAAAACAGGACTTTGTTTACTTTATATTTTTATTTATTAAAAAAAAAAAAGGCTTCAGTTTGTTTAATCTCAATTCAAATGTTAATGTTTTTCTCTAATAGCATAACTTTTAATTAGCTTTCAGGAATGATCAGTTTTGTAGTCTGTAAAAAAATCAGAATAAAGTAAAATATAATTTTTCTTAGTTTTTTTTCCCTCATGTTTTGCTGTTGTTTTAGAAAGTACACCTCCACCTGTTTTTTAAGTTACAAGTATCTAAAAATACCAAAAAGGTTGACTGCATTTTTATTTTATTTTATTCAAAACGCAGCGCAAACAAACACAAAATCCAACAATCTGAATCAAAAAAACACAGAACATACTGTACATTACATACACCGAGAAGACAGCCTCGTGTACCAAATTTATGAATAGTAAAAATAAATATGCTTTTGTACAGCATGATAGGAAGCAAGTTTCCTCCTTTAATCAAGGTTGATTATGCAGTAGAAGCTTATTTAGTTATCTCTAGCAATGCACCACCGTTTATATTAATCTCCTTGGCTTTTCCTTTTCTCTGCTACAAGTTAATATGTTTTAAGATTGTCACTGATTTAGTGCAGCTGTTATCAGAACTTTCATGCACTGGTGTAATTGCACAATTTAAATTAATGAAATGGGAATGTTAAAACAGTCTGAAAGAGGCAGTCAGGCCCTCGTTTGTGAATTACTGCAATAAATAAAACACGTTTTAACAAAATACTTGAATCCAGTTCAAGTTATAAAAAAAAAGGGAAATAACAACAAACAAACGATCTGATTGGATGGAATAGCTGTAAGCCTAAAACAAGTCAGAAGCTTGCTGAACATGCAGATGGCACGTGAAAAACATGTAAAATTACCTCAGATTACTGATAACATGACAAATATTGGAATAAATGTGACAAAAGACAAACAGAATTCAGTTTTCTTGATAAGACAATAACACTGTTAAAGTTGTGATCACTTCATTCCTTCACAGTTTCATTTCTCCGTTTGCGAGGAAAAAAAAAAATCTAGTCAGGAAAATTTTATGAGTTTGTAAATCCAAGAACTGATGAGTCTGCAAAACAACGCCACAACAGAAGTACAACCAAAAGCAAGAGTCAGATTTTTTTTTTTTAAACTGTTTTTAGTATAATAATTTCATCTATCTATTTTCTTTACCCACTTCTCTGTGCAGAGTCGTGGGGAGCTGGTGTCTACCTCCAGTGGTTACTGGGCGAGAGGCGGGGTGCATGCTGGACAGGGTGCAAGTCCATCACAAGACCCCATAAAAACGAGACAACCATTCACACCATCACCCACACCATCACCCACACCTGGGGACGATTCAGAGTGATCATTTCATCTAACATGAATGATTTTTGGTCTGTGATAGAAAACACACAACTTAAACAGTCATAAATCCATCAAAAATTCATACTTTCATTGCTAAAAGAAATAATAAAATGTTTTTTTATATGAATTTATTTCACCTAAAGCTAATGAAGGTTTGCACTTTTACTTATGTTATCCTTTATTATAATTCAGAGCAAGTTTCATTCTTATTTTTTTGTGCCCTTCAGCAACAAAACTACTCAACATTTCCGCTCACTGACTGATTTGTGTTCTCAAGCTGAGTTTTCCAGTCTCTATGAAAAGAAAATGGGTGGAACTGTGCGATAAATGGATAATCTGCTGCTTCTCTCCCATTGGGATACAGTCAGAGGTCATTAAAGTACCAACAGAAGGGCTGTTCAGATCAACAGATCGTAATGATCAGACTGCGTGCAGAAGGGGCTGAATACAATTTTGAATTGTCTGAATGCGAAATGAAAAAGTTTTTCGTCAGACCATCTTCAGAGATGGACCACTTTTTTTACTCATGGTTGGTAGTTTGAACATGATCCATCCTGAGTGAAGCTGTAGGACCTCCTGTGGAACTGATGTGACCCCACACCAACAACAGAACACGTTTCAGGGTAAAACAAGTCAATGGTAGCTCAGCTGCCAACTGATAAAAGATGGTTAAACTTCAACCCTCGAGAATATTCTAAAAGTACTTATTTATTTTTCATTTTTCTGGCTAAATGCTTCAATGAGATGTTTGTTGATCAAAATTAATTTTAATCCAAAGAATCATTTAAAAATCAGTAGATTGCAAGGCAAGGGTGATGTGCAGAGTAGTAGCAACTACAGGAGAGTTGAGTCACATGATGAAGCTCTGGGAGAGTGTTGTGGAAGCTAGACGTAGACGAGAGGTGAGTGTGTGAGCATCAGTATGGTTTCATGCAGAGAAAGAACATCACAGACACCAACTTTCTGCCGTTAGAGGGAAGAGCTGTGAAGTTGCACGAGGAGTTGCAGAGACGTATGTTAGACTGGTACAGGACATGTATGAGGACAGCAGGACAGTGGTGAGATGAGCTGTAGACATGAAGGTCGAGGCAGGAGGTAGAAATGCAGCTGCCAGGAAAAAGACAAAGAGGAGATATATGAATGTAGTTAGAGAGGACATGGAGGTAGCCGGAGTGAGGACAGAGGATGCAGACGACAGAGATGGAGGAGGATGACTCACTGTGGCAGCCCCTGATAAATGGAACAACCAAAAGAAGAAGATGATTACAGGACAGTGAATGGATGAGTTTCTCTTTGGTTTAATGTTTGTTCTGATTGTTTTTGCCCCCACTGCGGTCACTTCATTTTATAAAGTGCTGCATTAATTATAGGACAACAGTTTGAGAGCTTTACATCACATTGCATCCTCCTGATTAATACAGCAACTTATAGGTCAAAATTGCTCATTTTTGCTATGACAGAGCTGGGCAATGAAGTTTTTATAGACATAACTAAACCAAAATGTGACTCAAAAGGCTCTGCTAAAATATTAATGGAGGTCTCGATGTATTGCAGCTTTTACAAAAACATTAGCTATCCTGCGGTCACACTGAACTGACAGCTCAATGTGTGACGTGTAAATGCACACGGAGCAAGTGACATCTGGTTGCAAAAATAATTTTAGTGCTTGATGTTAATTCACTCAATCAGAGATGACCACTTGCAATCAGGTAACCCAAAACGGATTACAAACTACAGATCTGAACACCCTCCATGTGACAGTACTATGCAGATTCTTAAACAGCATTACAAGCACTTATCTTGTTGAATTTTTGTGTTAGCATTGATATAATTCTGCCTGCAGTCACGCATACAGCTGTAGTTGAAATGATGCACAAAGTCATCCACAAGCTGCAACATGGATGCTTTCACTCCTGGCTCCTCACGTCCGTGTTAAGGAGGCTTTGGGTCGAACAAGAAAAGTCAGAAAAAAGACCAAAGTGCCGCCTGTGTATGAGAATTAGTTATTAAAACAAAATACATTTAGTATCACCAGAGCATGATTTAAACAGCACAGTGATTGTAGAAGTCTGTCAAACAGTGCTACTGTCATGTGGGAGCTTAAAAATGCATCAGTAAAAAAAAAAAAAGGCTTATGACCCGTAGTTTACAAAATGGCACAGTTTGCAGAACGCTCTCTCAGGCGTATCGAGGGTCTGCATCAATCAGAGACAACTGCTGGAGGTAGGCTGGCGCCTGGCAGTAAGGCGCTCGTGTCGTCTCCATAAAGATCGTGGAGGAGGTGAGGCTTTTACGGTCTTTCTTCAAGGTGTGTCTCCTCTGCCAGCGGCAGAGTAAAACCTCCACCTGCTCTCTGAAGAAGCTGGTGGTGAGCGTGTACAGGATGGGGTTCAAGGCACTGTTGATCGGAAGGATGAAAATGACAACCCAGCTGGAGATTGTGACTGAAGGAGAAAAGTTTAAAACAGGAAAAAGCGCCCTTCATAAGATTAAGACTTGTAGGATAATGAAGAAATTCTACAAGGGCCTGATTTCATATCTTACCAGGTATTTCCACTTCCAGAAGGGAGAGAACTTTTACTAAGAATATAGGGATCCAGCAGAGGGCGTCAGAGAACACGATGAAGAAAAACCTGTTGGCCACCGCCACATCTCTGTGCAGTCTGCTCCTCACGTCTGTGGCGTTGATTCCAGTTTTATAGATGGAGAAGAACATGCTGGAGTAGGAGATGACGATCACCAGGAACGCCACCAGGTTTAGACCTAAAAGAAATGCTCACTTTATTCACACATGTACTCAAATGCCTTGCACTTTGGCAAAGCAATGACAAGCATAAAAATTAAAATGAATGTCTCTGCAGAAAAAAGGGGCTTTCCTGCCTCACACTGTGAAAACGGAGGAGCTGGGAGCTCATCGTCGATGGGAAGTGTTTCCAGTTTGGATTGGATTGCAGGAGGATGGCGCTAAAATTTTACAATTAAAAAGGGTGAAACAGTTTGTGTCTAAATAGCATCTAAAATAACGCCAGGACACAAATAATAAGTTGATAATTTTGGTGAGAACTGCAGCATAAATCAAAGACTAACATTAATAATGTAATGCAAGTCAAAAAAGGACATTGTGCATCAGAGGTATACAATAAATTAAATTTTTTTTATTAATTTGTGCATACTCTGTGAAATAATTTACCTGTAGCTATTAGCTTCAAACAACTATCTAAAGTAATCCAAAAAGTTTTTTTGTTTTTTTTTTTCCAAAAAATGTATGGACTTTTCTAACATATGCTTAATAGTCATATTAAATGTGATATTTAGCAGCAATTATTTATTTAGAAATATATATTATTAACACTTTAAGTTAAAACCTTGATCTAAAATGGGAGCCGACACCGGTTTTGTGAAACATATTTAAAAATAGGTACTCATTTGAAATATGAGAGGTTTGTGGTGGCAAAAGTACAAATTGGTAAAAAAAAAAAAAAAAAATCAATCAATCTAATTTTTTTTTCTGCGTGAGTCATTGAATTCAGTGAAGATGATTTTTAAAACGTATGTGGCTGCTGTTTTTTTCTGTGTTCCTTCTGCAGCCATTTGATGACAACGTTAACATTTTTTATAAAGAAAAATTCACATGTGGACATTCTTAACATCCGCTGCAGAAAGGCAAAAAATATTCTGGGTTTGCGTGCGTGTCTGTATGTTAGTAAAATTGCTCATAAACCACTGAACAAATTGACACTTAACAAATGCAATAATTGAATATGCAATTACACTGAACAACTTTTGAAGTCAACCTGATCCAAGATGGCTGCTGCAGCCAACTGACTTAAAACTGATATAGCTATAACTCAGTTATATGTTAGATAAAGAGCTAAGATTTGGCATGGTAGTAACTGAGAGTCATACACAACAGATCTCACAAAGAGACTGAGCATATTTTCCATGGTTTAACAAGATGGCTAAACAATCATTTCTCAACATAAGATGATCATTGTCTTCAATTCTGGCATGAAAGGCAGCAGGTGACAAACATTTAATCAAGGCATACTATACTTTAAAAAAAAAAAATCATGCCTCTAGATGTGTGCGTAACCCAGACAACTTCCTAAAACAGAGTACCTCACATGAATATTTACAATCCTGCCTTAAAAAAAAAAAAATCAGTACAAGAAGCCAAAGCACAAGCTGCACCTTCGGATCAAATAATCCAGCCTGTTAAAAGCTGAACCCTGATTACAGGAATGCTGGCAACCCTTAAGACAGAATGTCAGCATCATTCAGTGTTTGTTTTTTTTTCAACACTGGAGCTCAGAGAGAACACAGAGTAATAAGAACCCAGGCTAATCATTTATTTTTGAGAAATCCCCTGAGTTTACTGAGTGAAAAAAAAAATTCCTTTAGTTTGTCGTCACACAAGAAAAATATAGGTATTCATATATAAATATAGCCTTCATCATCAGATTACTGCAGAAATTTCAAAAATTAAAAGATGAAATTTTTTATATTACTTACGAATCCTACAAGACTGAGAAATTGATTACTCTATTTGATTAGTGAAATACAAAACAGCCACTAGGGAGTGCAAGCCAGTGTATCTCTTATGCCGGTCCCAAGCAAATGGTGAGGGTTGTTTCAGGAAGGGCATCTGACCTAAAACACTTTTGCCAAAACTAATATGCGAGTTCATATAAGCGACACCATACAGCAGGGGTGTCAAACTCACTTACAAAAGGGGGCCAAAATTAAAACCTTTTGTCAAACTAAGGGCCAATTTCAGAAACGACATGAACTCAAATCAGATACCGAACATATATTCTTGGTCACAGATTCCTCAACAAGAGTTTGATTGGTCTCATTTGATCTTCTCTGTTGTGCTTTCAACACCATAATCAAAGATTACTGAAAAAAATTCAAAGGATAAAAGTATTTTACGTTTCACATATCATCTTGGGGGCCAGAGATGATGTCAACGAGGGCCACATTTGGCCCCCGGGCCTTGAGTTTGACACGTGTGCCATACAGGATCGGTCGAGGCCCAAGTAAACAATGACCGCCACCGGTGCTGTTGACAAACGGGGTGCCGACATACTGTAAATTGTAGTACTGTTAGATGAAGACCACGAAGAGGGAAATGTGTCAGGAGACAGAGGGAGAAGAGTAAAATCAAGAATGTAGGACTGAGGGTTGCAACTCTAAATGTGGAGCCAATGGCAGGCAAACGTAGAGAGCTGGCTGACATGATGCAGAGAAGGAAGGTAGATGTTTTATGTGTCCAAGAGACCAAGTGGAAGGGAAGTAAGGCTTGCATAATTGGAGCAGTGTTTAAGGTGTTTTACCATGGTGTAGATAGAAAGAGAAATGGCGTAGGGGTGGTCCTGAAGGAGGAGTTGGCAAAGAATGTAGTAGAGGTGAAAAGAGTGTCAGATATGGTGATGAGCCTGAAGGTAGAAGTAGAAGATCTGATGCTAAACATTGTCAGTGGTTATGATCCACAGGTTGAATGTAATGTAGAGGAGAAAGATAAAATTTGGAAGGATCTAGAAGAAGTGATAGAGACTATTCCCAAGGAGGAGAGAGTGGTGATCAGAGCAGACCTAAATGGACATGTTGGTGAAGGAAATGGAGGGGATGAGGAAGTGATGGGTTTGGTGTCAAGGCTTCGTGTCAAGGAAAGAAACCAGGAATGACAGATGGTGGTGGATTTTGCCAAGAGAATGAAAATGGCTGTAGTCAACACATATTTCCAAAAGAGGGAAGAACATAGAGTGACCTATAAGAGTGGAGGCAGCAGGAATATAAGGAGATGCAATGTAGAGCAAAGTGGGATGTGGCAAAGGCAAAGCAGAAAGCGTATGATGAGTTGTATGAGAGGTTGGATACTAATGATAGTGAGAAGGACTTGTACCAATTGGCTAGACAGAGGGATCAGGTGGGAAAGGATGTGCAACAGGTGAGGTTTGTTAAAGATAGGAATGGTAATGTTCTAACAAGTGAAGAGAATGTGACGGGAAGATGGAAGGAGTACTTTGAGGAGCTACTGAAAGAAGAGAATGAAACAGAAAAAAGAGTCATAGAGTCAAGAGGTCATAGAAGCTGTGGACCAGGAAGTAGGAAATATTAGTGAGAGTGAAATCTGGAAAGCTCTGAAAGAATGAAGAAGGGGAAGGCAGTAGAACCTGATGACATGCCAGTGGAGGTTTGGAAAGATCTTGGAGAGATGGCAGTGAGGTTTTTGACTCAAATACTCAATGACATATTTGAGGGTGAGAAAATTCCTGAGGAATGGAGAAGAAGTGTGCTGGTGCCCATTTTTAAGAACAAGAGTGATGTACAGAGTTGTAGTAACTACAGGGGAATTAAGTTGATGAGTCACACAATGAAAATCTGGGAGAGAGTTGTGGAAGCTAAACTTAGAGGAGAGGTAATTATTTGTGAGCAGCAGTATGGTATCATGCCAAGACAGAGCACCACAGATGCCATCTTTCTTTGCGGAGACTGATGGAGAAGTACAGAGAGGGTCAGAAAGAACTTCATTGTGTCTTTGTGGATTTAGAAAAAGTAAATGACAGAGTGCCGAGGGAGGAGGTGCGGTATTGCATGAGGAAATCTGGAGTGGCAGAGAAGTATGTTAGACTGGTACAGAACATGTATAAGGACAGCAGGACAGTGGTGAGATGTGCTGCAGGAGTGAAAGATAGCTTCAAGGTGGAGGTGGGAGTGCATCAAGGATTAGCTCTGAGCTCCTTCTTGTTCGCTCTGGTGATGGACCGACTAACAGTTGAGGTCAGGCAGGAATCCGCATGGACTATGATGTTTGCAGATGACATTGTGATCTGTGGTGGGAACAGGGAACAGGTGGAAGAGAACTTGGAGAGGTGGAGGTATGCACTTGAAAGAATAGGAATGAAAGTCAGCTATAGTAAGACAGAGTACATGTGTGTGAATGAGAGGGAGACTGGTGGAACAGTGAGACTACAAGGAGCAGAGGTCACAAAGGTTCAAGTACTTGGGGTCCACTGTCCAGGAAAATCAGGAGTGTGGTAAAGAGGTGAAAAAGAGAGTCCAGGCAGGATGGAGTGGATGGAGAAAATTTTCAGGAGTCAATTATGACAAAAGGGTGTTAGCAAAGGTCAAAGGAAGTTTACAAGACAGTTTTGAGACCAGCATTGTTGTTTGGTCTGGAGACAATGACAAAAAGACAGGAGAAAGAACTAGATGTAGCAGAAATGAAGACGTTAAGGTTCTCCTTAGGAGTGACAAGGATGGATGGGATTAGGAATGACATTGTCAGAAGTACAGCAGAGGTTGAACAACTGGGAGATAAAGTTGGAGAGGCTAGATTGAGATGCAACATTTTTCAGTCAGCTCATCTGGAAAGTTTCTTTTTTTGTGCTGAAACGTTTCGCCTTCGATCTGGAAGGCTTCGACAAACAAACTGGTTTGTTCCACTTTGGAGTAAGTTGTTGGGGGAAGAATCAGTTTTGTTGTGTGTTTCCTTGACTGATGAAGCCTTCCGGATCGAAGGCGAAACGTTTCAGCACAAAAAAAGAAACAGTCCAGATGACCTGACTGAAAAATGTTGGATTGTATACCTGGATTATTGAGCATGGACTTTATTCTAGACTGAGATGGTTTGGACATGTCCAAAGGAGGGACAGTAGGTATACTAGTAGAAGAATGTTAGAAATTCAGCTGCCAGGAAAAAACTAAAAGGAAGGCCAAAGATGAGATATATAGATGCAGTGAGAGAGGACATTGAGGTAGTTGGAGTGAGGAAAGAGGATGCAGAGGACAGAGTGAGATGGACAAGGATGACTCGCTGTGACGACCCCTGAAAAGGTAAAAGCTGGAAGAAGAAGAAGAAGAAGAAAGAAGAGTGAAATCCCATTCTTCCCTTCTGAGAAACGCATGAAGCTGTTACATTTATTATAAATTGAAAGGGGGAAAAGAGGAAAAAAACAACAATAATTTTTAATTTTTTTAATTTTACCCAGAAAGATTCCTGTGGAGTACCCTTTGGCAGTAGGTTTTTCTCCCCTGTCAGAGTGCAAGGGGAAGCAGACCCCGTTGCGCCCGTAGTAATTCCCAAAGATGTCCTCGTTCATGAGCGGCACGGCGGCAATGATGAACCCCATCAGCCACAGAGAAGACAGGATCACCTTGTATTAGAACAACAAACAGGCAAAAACTGTAGTACTCTGCAAACACACAGTGAAAAACTATTAAGAGCATCTCTGACTCAATGAATTTCCACTTTCTCATTGACATTTAATTAACTGAAGCCGAAGCTACAAGATTTACTTCAGACCAATAATCTTCTGTTTATTGACATTTCAGGCTCAATCTTTGTCAGGAGAGAAAAATGTAAATAAATAAATAAAACAGCTTTCTGCTTTAAATGACGTTTGATTTAAAGAAATATTTCAACTAAACATGCCAGTACTTAAATATGAGAATGTATAAAACTGAGATCAGCTACGGTAAATAATTGTAAAAGAAGACATGAACTGATGATTGGTTTAAGGGCAGAATCTGTTCAAGAGGAATTGTTCTGCCTGAATGCTCAACATGATCACTACAATTTCAACGTCCACTGCTGTGAAAGGTGGGTGATTGTTTAAGTGCCTGTGCGTGTGTGTCTGTTAGCAAAATATCACATTAACTATTGGACGGATTTTACTGAAACGCTGAAAAAATAATTACTGAATGTGCTTCTACAACTGATTAAAGTTTGGAGTCAACCTGATTCAAGATGGCTGCCACAGCACAAAGAACATAAAGACAAAATCAGTCAATTTCACTGATTGATATGGCATGATCATATCCATCAATCATCATCACCATCACATGTTCACGGTAAATTCATTTAACGCAATACTCGGTTGAAGTGACTTACTTTTAATTAAACAAGAACAAAAATAGTGACATCATATTATGTGTACAATTTTACAATAAGAAAACGAACGCAGCATTGCAAACCTTCTATGCACTTGGGCTGAAATGAAGCTCCACATATTTTTAAAGTTCTTCCTACTGTTCTTGGAACTGTTTGATATTGTCTAAAACAGGTACATTTTAAAGGTCGCAGACTTTTAAAATGTACCCGAGCTATTTTTAGAATATTGACAGAACACCGCCGGAACCATTGGAGCTCATACTTATACCCCTGAAGCACAGAAAAGCCTGGGTTTTACTGATGGAGGGATGGGCAATTATTTGACACTTTAAACGACCGAAGTGAGCTGAGCTCAGTTTTTAATCATTTTAAATCAAAGTAAGTAGAAGTAATGCTTTGAACAAATTATTTTATGATGCTTTTTTTTGTTGTTGGAAAGTGTTGCTCTGTAGTCAGGATTTACAAATCCCCTGAACACATCCCTCACAGACCAAAGGTTCTTTTGGCATGGGCTACAGCGACTGCAACAGAATTGATCCTTGGTGATCGCCACATTCGGCATGCTGGGTAAATCCGTGTCCTGAACTGATCTGACTTGATGCAATCTGACAAGATTTGCTCTTAGCCTCGGAACATGAGAGAACATGGCGTCTGATAAACTGACCTGAGGTCTGATTAGTTGAGATCTGAGCTCAACAATAAGATTCTATTAAAACTTTTAGTTAGAAATAATGTTTTTTGCCTGCGTGTGTACATGTATTTGTCCGATATCAAAATATCAAATGAGTCACTGACAGATTTTACTGAAACTTTTGAAAGGAATCTTTTGTTGAATATTTACATACAAACTTTAATCTATTAAAAAATAGTAAAAAAATAAATAAAACACTGCATAAGCAGTAAAGTAAGCAGCAGTAAAAGAGTCTGATGAGCAGATGTGCTTCTGAAGTAACATCTGTAGAGACATGAAGCCCTGACAATCAGTCACATTAATAATGACGGATGTTTTTAGTGTATTTCTTCTCTCTGTGCGTCACAACTTCCAATGTCAGCGGCAGGCCTGTATTTTCATGCAGATGATGTGACCGATTTACTTCAGTTAAACAGAAAGTGAAATATGCACAAACTGATGACAGACTGCCAAAAACAATTACCAGTCTACCCTGTGGTCATTAAAACATCTGTGCACAAATAAGGTTGAGAAAGATCCTGTTTAGCTGGAATTTGTTTAAACAGGAACTCATAATGTGATTCTGTCTGTACAGACTGAAAGCAGCTGGAAGTAATCTGACTTTACAACAGATTTTGTCTCTGAGACATGAGCAGGTGGCAGGGGACAAAGTGAAGCAGAATTTATGTTTTATAGAAAGATTGTGCTGAAACAAACATATCCTGATAAAAAAATGGATTCATGCCAACTAAAGCAGATGTTTACAGTAGCAAAAACTTGTGAGAGCTACCACCAAATATGTTTTAACATGCTAAGATTGATCAATTACATAAAAGGCGGACACATTTTGATGCAGTATTTCTTACAGGATGAGATAGTGCATTTCCTTGGCTCCTAAGGAACAAGCCTGCCAAATCTGAGCTAGAAAGTGGATGAACAGTTGATAAAAGCAAAGAACTCCCATACAAAGACAGACTTTCAGTCTTTGATCAGATGAGTCAACTCACTCCTGTCTGAAGCTTGCCTGGGCGGAGGTTGCTGAAGGGGAAGACAATGACCAGGAACTTCTCTAGGGTCAGATATGTCAAGAGGAGAACAGACACCTGGAACAAAACACATAAATCATAAATAAAAGTTTAATAAATGCATTTTGTTCCATTCAAACATTTCAAAGTCAGTCCTATTAACACACTCGCTGATAAAAACATTAGGCGCCCAGAAGGGACGGTCTTGATAGTGAATCAAGACACATTAGATGATGTTTTTCCAATGTTTTGCTGCTGTATCTCATCTGCTTCAGGGTTGGACATGCTGTGTATTTAGGGATGGTATACTGCATACCTTGGTTGGAACGAGTAGTTATTTGAGCAACTGTTTCCATTTTGTAATCTTGAACCAGTCTCCTCATCAACAAAGTATTTTTGTCCACACAACTGCTGCTCATTATTAATATATTTTACCATTTTCTGTAAATACTAGAGATGGTTTTGTGTAAAACTCCCAGTAGATCAGTTGTTTCTGAAATACCTAGTTCAGCCCATCTGGCACCAACAACAACTATATTCAAAGTAACTCAAATCCCCTTTCTTCTCCATTCTGATGCACTATTTGAACTTCTTCATCGTGTCTGCATGCCTAAAGGCATTTCGTTGCTGTCATGTGATTGGATAATTATCTATTTGTGATAACAAGCAGTTGAACCCAATAAAGTGGCCAGTGAGTGCATTTCAATTAACGCAGTGTTCCCATTCTTATTTTCCTAATGGTAGTCTCGTTTCCTGCCAATGTTTACTTTTGAACTACTTGTAAAGTTATTGTCAACCCAGTAAAACAAAAAGTTATTTTGCCGACATCCTGAACACAAGTACAAATTAAACATAAGATTCTTGTTGAATAAAATCTACATACATAACTAGAGTTAAAACAAAAACCAAAACAACACGATATAAAAACACACTAAGGAACTGCAGAAAACACTGGTAAAGTAAAATGTCAAGTAATCAGAAAATAAAAAGTTCATTTTAAGCAGTTAAGGATAATGTTATAGGCCTTAGACTTGCTGTTCAGTGTGTCTATAATAATGTGTGTACTTTTATAGACATTTGTGAGAAGGTAAAAGTTAAAGTACCTCAGAAGAGAGCATGGCCAGAAATCCAATGGTGCGACATTCCACGCTCTCCATCCAGATCAGGGCGTTTTGATTGTACTGCCCGCGGAACTTCACATCGTACACCCCGACAAAGAACAGGTACACACCCATGAGGCAGTCTGCACCTGGACGATAAGAAACAGATTATGCCCAGAGAAATCCTCCAAGTATGACATTACTAAATGTGTCCAGCTGGCACCCGCTGGTGCTTCCTGTTGGACAAGAAATGTCTCATTAAAATGCACAAAACAAAATATTGCTCGCCTTGAGAGCAGTCAAGAGTAACAACTTGCAGGAGGAGACCCACATGCAGGTTTGAATGACGATGCCTGCAGGTGGGTATGTGTGGGGGTGAGAAGTGAGTCAATGGAAGAACTAATCAAGCCAAGATGATTTTAATACTTGAGCACCTGTTTTTCTGCTCGAAATAAAAATTGAATGATAAGAATAAAAAACTAAACATGAAAAATCAGAAAATACAGAGCTCTGCAAGTAAGAACTGAGCACTTGAAAGTTACAGATGTGTAAAAGGTAAATGAGCAGAGGAAAGACAAAGACTGCATTTATGGGCAAATTTCAAAAACAATAATTAGCTGAAACAGCCAATCTGGGTGTGAGGATTATAAATTGACGTTTGCACATGAAACCCAACTAAAAACGAAACAAAACTGAGAGCACAAAATGGAAACAAACTGAATGATGTGACCAGCAGTTGAAAAGGATTTATAGATGATTCCAGTAAAGACCCTTCATAAACACATTTTCACTGTGTTAAAGACTGAACACCTCTGAGGTTCTTTATAGATAACAAACTTTTTGTACATATAGTAATTTGGTTAAATAGTACATTTGTTTCTGAGTTTCCTAAAAATACATTTAAATATTTCAGCTAAAGCTTTCATAATCAACATAACTAAAATGAAAAATGGCTTTTTTTAAATGATAGTTTAGATCTTTATAAGTGAGGTAATGTCAAAACGTTTTGGGCAGTTAGTATCTTACCTGTTGTAGATACAGTGGTGCTTGAAAGTTTGTGAATTCTTTATGTTCTCTAACTATCTTTCAGACCGGAGGCAATGTGTTCAACATAATGGTACTTCCTCCAGTTATTTAACAGTCAACAATGGTGTACCACAAGGCTCAGTCTTAGGACCCACCCTCTTTACAATCTACATACATAATGTAGGTAAAAACATCCCTAATGCATCCATACATTTCTATGCTGACGACACAGTTGTTTATTGTCGAGCTAAAACTGTTGCTAAGGCTTTCCAGCTTTTGAAATCTGCATTCAACTACATCCAGACAGATTTGTTTCGCCTCAAACTTGTCCTAAATGCCGACAAAACCAAAGGGATGCTCTTTTCAAATAGGAAGTTGGTCCCAGCAGTTCTTCCTCCGATTTTATCCTCAAATGGTGTCCCTATTGAGTTTGTTGATTCCTATAAATATTTGGGTATCTTGGTCGACTCACATCTCTCTTTTAAGCTCCATGTGGAAAACTTTATAAAGAAACTGAAAGTTAAACTGGGTTTCCTTTTCAGAAACAGATCCTGTCTAACCCTGAATGCTAGAAAACGCCTTGTATCTGTGACCTTCCTTCCCTCCATTGATTACGGTGACATTATTTACATGAACGCTCCTACAAGAACCCTGCAGATGTTGGATGCTGTCTATCATGGTGCACTAAGATTCATAACTGGCTGTGATTATCGTACCCACCACTGCACCCTGTATTCACTGGTTAACTGGACATCATTAACTTCACGCAGACTCTCTCACTGGTACATTTTCATCTTTAAATCACTTCTTGGTCTGCTGCCTTCATACATCTCCTCCTACATGTCTCTGCGTGAGTGCAGCTACGGAGTGCGCTCTCAGGACATTATTACCTGCAAAGTTCCCTCAGTGAGGACTGAACTAGGCAAAAGGGCCTTCTCCTATTCCGCTCCTGTTTCCTGGAACGTCTTACAAAAAGATTTGAAGCTCTCGACCTTGACCTCTCTAAGTGGCTTTTTAAGAATCTGTTGGACACCTGGCAGGGTCCAATGCTGACATGTTCCTGTTTAGTTTTCTACATTTGTCTTGGAATCTAGCTGTTTTTTGTTTTGTTACCTTTTCCTTTTAGCTATCCTATTTGTTAAAAACAAACAAACTGTAGTATGCTTTTTTTATAACTGTTTATTGTTGTTGCTGTTGTCCATTGTTGTCATCTTTCTTTGTTGAAATCAGGTCTCTCTTGTAAATGAGTCCTCGAGGCTCAATGGGATTTACCTGTATAAATAAAGGTTGATTGATTTATAATTGTTTATATTTCTCCATAAATATGACCTAAAACATCATCAGATTTTCACACAAGTCCTAAAAGTAGAGAGAACTCAGATAAACAAATGAGACAAAAAATAATATACTTTATCATTTATTTATTGAGGAAAATGATCCAATATTACATATTTGTGAGTGGTAAAAGTATGTGAACCTTTGCTTTCAGTATCTGGTGTGACCCCCCCTGTGCAGCAATAACTGTAACTAAATGTTTCCAGTGACTGTTGATCAGTCCTGCACACACACTTGGAGGGATTTTAGCCGTTCCTCTGTACAGAACAGCTTCAACTCTGGATGTTGGTGGTTTCCTCACATTAGCTGCTGCTTCAGGTTCTTCCATAATATTTGGATGGGCTTAAGGTCAAGACTTTGACTTGGCCATTCCAAAACATGAACTTTATTCTTCTTTAACCTTCTTGCTGCAAGTCATTGTGTTGCTGCATGACTCACTTTCTCTTGAGATTCAGTTCATGGACAGATGTTCAGACATTTTCCTTTAGAATTCTCTGATATAATTCAGAATTCATTGTTCCATCAATGATGGCAAGCCGTCCTGGTCTAGATGCAGCAAAACAGGCCCAAACCATGATACTACCACCACCATGTTTCACACAGATGGTATCAGGTTCTTATGCAGGAATGCAGAGTTTTCCTTTCTCCAAACATAACACTTTTCATTGAAACCAAAAAGTTATTTTTTTGGTCTCATCCGTCCACAAATCATTCTTCCAATAGTCTTCTGGATCGTCCAGGTGATCTTTAGCAAACTGCAGATGAGCATCAATGTTCTTTTTGGAGAGCAGTGTCTTTCTCCTTGCACCCCTGCCATGCACACCATTGTTGTTCAGTGCTCTCCTGATGATGGACTCATGAACATTGATATTAGCCAATAAGAGAGAGGCCTTCAGTTGATTAGAAGTTACCCTGGTGTCCTTTGTGACCTCGCCGACCATTACACACCTTGATCTTGGAGTGATCTTTGTTGGTCGACCAGTCCTGTGGAGGTTTAACAATGACCTAGAATTTCCTCCATTTGTACACAATCTGTCTGACTGTGGATTGGTGGAGTCCAAACTCCTTACAGATGGTTTTCCTCAATAAATAAATGACCAAGTATAATATTTTTGTGTCATTTGTTTAACTGGGTTCTCTTTATCTACTTTTAGGACTTGTGTAAAAAAATCTGATGATGTTTTACGCTGAAGTATAGAAAATTATAAAAGGTTTACAAACTTTCAAGCACCACTGTAGCTATTTGAAGGACCTAAATTTTAGAAATAAGGTTAATTTCTATTAGACTGATGAACTAACGACTAATCTGAGCAAAGTCAGGATCAAAGTGGGTTATTGCTCTCATAACACACTTATTCTTCTAAAATATTGTAACATTGCAGCAGAAAATGCAACAGCTACATGTAGATGCGCTTAATAAGTAAAAAAGCATTGACTCCAATATGATTGAATATGTAATGTGAAGTTTACAATAATTTAATAGATTAGAAAATAGTGTTCACATAGAACCACTATTATTTATCTGAGATTGTAGTTGTTTTAAAACAGCAGCTCATCAATCCTGTCAAATTTAAACACGTTTTTTTTTTTTCCAAACTGAAGACTTTTAAAGAGCTATACAACAGGTAAGATATTAATGGTTCACAAGCCTTCAACAAATCTTCATTTCAAAGGATCTAAACTATTACTTTATAAGGTAGGCAAGACTATAGACATCAGCATGTGAAGACAGAATTTTTAGGTTTTGTCTGACATTATAATTAGGCTTTTCAAAAAGAGCAAATCTGTTTCAATGGTTTGTTGTCAGAGATATAATTGCTTAAATAAAAAGGTCACTCAGACATTAAAAGCAAAATATGGAAAAAAAAAAAAAAAAAAAGCCTAAACTACAGTGAATGAATGAAACAGATTTTCTGAACTCTGCTAATAAAAATAGCAGCTAAATCTGAAATATTTGGCCCTAGGCTTGAAAGAGCAAATAATTTGTTTACGTCAGTGGGCTCTTCTCTTTCGACTGGCCTAAAAACTAAATGTTCCCACCCCAGAGTTGTTGAGTGGGGCTCTGAAAGCTTTTGGACTTATTTCTTACTTCAACCCTGCAGCCTGAAATTACGCAGTCAGCAGGAAAAATGCCTTTTAATCTTGAGAGACAGGCGGGTGTGTGTGTGTGTGCTTGTGTATGTGACTTGGTAGACCCACAAAAGTTGCTGAGACCAAACTGAGTCATAAATGAAGTAAAAGGTCAATTCTAGGGCTTGGATTACAAAGGTTTAGATTCTGTCAGAATAAGGTTAGTTATATTTAGTGTCTGTTTAATTCATCTTAAACATGAATAAGACCTACTAGGACAATTCAATGCTGATGAAATATTGAAATCTAAATCTAAAATATCGATATCTAAACAATATGTAAAGAATGTTGATATCAAAAATACTTTTAACCCTTAGATGGTCTCATAAAAATAAATAAACCACTCTTTTTTTTTTCTTGGTGTTCTTATTTATTTATTTATGTATGTATGTGTACATACATACTTATGTATTTATGTATGTTAGGAACATAGGAGGATCTACGGTGGAAGTGGTCTCCAGCTACAAGTAGTTGGGTGTGCACCTGAATGACAACCTGAGCTGGAGCGGCAACACCACCAGCCTGATCAAGAAAGCTCATCAGAGACTCTACTTCCTCAGGCGGCTGAGACGAGCTGGTCTGGGAAGCTCAGTCCTCACCTCCTTCTACAGGTGTGCAGTGAGAGCATCCTGTGCTCCAGCATCAACGTGTGGCATGG